TTATTATTTTTTAAAAGCACCATCTCCCTTTATTTTATTATTTTTAGTTTTTGTTAATCCTTATCCAAGGATATTTTTCCATTGATATTTAGATAGAGTGGAAGAGAGAGGGAAAGACAGAGAGAAACATCAATGTGAGAGAAACACATCAATTGCTTGCCTCCTGCACAAGCCCTGACCAGGGCTGGGGCCAGGACCAGGGCCAGGGCCAGGGAGGAGCCTGCAACCAAGGTATGTGCCCTTGACCGGAATCGAACCCAGGACCCTTTGGTCCACAGGCCAACCCTGTATCCACTAAGCCAAACCAGCTAGGGCTCCACTGATTTTTAGAGAGTGAAAGGAAGGCAGGAGGGAGGGGGAGGGGGAGGAAGAGAGAGAAACATTAATGTGACAGACACATCCACTGGTTGCCTCCTAATCCCCAACTAGGGGCCAGGGCCAGGGATTGAACCTGCAACCCAGGTAGTGCCCTTGACGGGGAATTGAACCTGTGACCCTTGGATGTGTGGGCCAATGCTCTAACCACTGAGCACCACTGGCCAGAGCTATGTTTGAGTCTTAAGGTGTGTACATAAAAAGACAAATAGAACCACTTAGTTCCTAGAAAAGGGGTCACATGTAAATTCTCACAATGCTTCACACATTTCTAGAATAGTAGCCAATCACAAAAGGCAAGTGCCTGAGATGAGGAATCAAAAAAAATTGGGTCCTGGTGTTGAGAAACCAAATTATCCCTCTTTATGTCTGAACCCAAGCAGCTGAATGTTGCTGGAGAAAAACCACCTATTAGGCCAACTAGTTTATCTTTAAACTCATGATCATAAACTTCAAATGGGTACCCAATCCTGCCAAGGCTGTCCTACTAGCAAAGCTGTAAGTTTGCTCTCCCTCTCCCTTGCATTTGCATCATCTTCATCTTCATCAGTTACGCCAATTATCACAGTGGAAGCATCCTGCTCCTATCCAAGGTTAACCCTCCCAGTTTCCTTATATCTTCCCATGGATTTCACTCCTATATAAGTCAAGTAAGCCTTCTCTCTACTGTATCACTCCCAATGGCACAAAAACATGCTCTAGAACCCTACCATCTTTTAAAAAAATATATTTTATTGAATTTTTACAGAGAGGAAGAGGGAGGGATAGTTAGAAACATCGATCAGCTGCCTCCTGCACACTCCCTACTGGGGATGTGCCCGCAACCAAAGTACATGCCCCTGACTGGAATCGAACCTGGGACCTTTGAGTCCGCAGGCCTACGCTCTATCCCCTGAGCCAAACCAGTCAGGGCCCTACCATCTTTTAAACATCTCCTTTGCACCGGCTGGATAACTCGGTTGGTTAGAGTATCGCCTCCAATACTCCAAGGTTGAAAGTTCCATCCCCGATCAGGGCACATACAAAATCAATTTATGAATGCATCAATAAGTGGGACAACAAATTGATGTTTCTCTCCCTTCCTTTCTCTCTGGAATCAAGAGATAAAAGAAACAAACATCTCTCTGATCCCCTATGCCTCCTAGTTATGCCTAAATTCATTTGCTCCCTTCACAGCAAAACTTCTCTCGTGTTGACTACATGTAGTTGGTATATTTCCTAACTTTCCCGTTCACTCTTCAACTCATTATAGTCATATCCACATTTCTGATTTACCAACATGAATCAAGCCAGCGCCACCAATAATATTCTCCAGTGATCGCCAAGGCGACCGACTCAAACCATACCTCCAGCCCAAGTACAACGCTTGGCAGCTCTACACACGGTTGACCACGTCCCTCCTACCTGAAACCTTTCCTGCCCTTAGATTTCGCAACTCAACATCGTGAATTTCCTCCTGCCCTCCTGGCCGCTCCCTCTCCGTCTCCACTACCCTATCTCTAAAGGCTGGAGTGCCTAGGATTTGGCACTGCCTAGGATTTCACTCTTTCCTTTAAAGTCAGGTTAAACCACACGTATGGTTTCATCAGCGCATGCAGTTTAAAAACACTTGATTTAGTTGCTAACGACTAAACATCTGGAAATTTTACATTTTAAATCATCCAAATTTCTGATTCCCTTAAAAAAAACACACACACCACACACTCGGATTTGTCAATATTGTTGGTAGCATTCTCCTAATTAATAGAACAAACGCAGCAGAAGCTGTTTGTTATCCACATCTAAGGGAGTTGAGAATATAATCCTGAGTCCGATTCCCAAAAAGCACCAAAAACTCTCCTCCCGGAGCCGCCGGAATATCCAGTCGGTCTTCCGTCAACTTTACGGCCGGTTGGTTAGGTCACGCCCGCAGGTGCACCCTGGGGAGGGGGAGGGCGACCGCCCTCTGCGCGACTCCGGGACTCCGCCCGCCCCGGGAATGGAACAGCCCTCGGGGCAGAGGCAAGAAGCGCACGTTTTGAAACGCAGAAGCGCACCGCGCCAAAAACAAAGTCCTTTCGGCACCAGACTGCCACGATCCCGTAAAAGCGTCAGGTCTCGTTTCCCGCTGGCTTTTCCGGGCCGAGGTGGCCCAGGGACAAGAGGAAGCCCTGTTCTAGGGCGGAGAGGTTCCCCAAAGCCGCCGGGAAGAGACAGCTCTCCTCGCGGTCGCTGGATTGTTTGAGAGGAGAACGCGCCGGGACCGGGACCGCACCGGCCTAACTCCCCGGCGGGACGCGGTGCGGCGCTAGGAAGGCGGGTCGGGCAAGGCTTAGGGTGGAGACTGGGGCGGGGCCTGCCCCGAGAAACGCCTCAGACCCAGCATCGAACCCCGCACGGGCTTCTTCCCAACACCCTCACCCCCTTCACGGGTTCGGGGCGGGAGGCTGCGGCTCCGGAACTAGGTTAAGCGGACCCGCGATCGCGGACCGCCCAGGGGCGGTGACCTCCGCCCAAGAAACCCCACCCAGCGGGAGCCCGGACTTCGCGGCGCCCGCGGAGCCCACGCGCGACCGGGCGAGAGCGCGGGAGGGCGCGTGCGGCGTGACGTGCCTCGCAGCGCGTCCCGTTACGCCATCGCGCCCGCTTTTGAAAGTTGGCGCCCGGGGCCGCCTCCCATGCTGCCCTGCGCCAACCCCTCCCCTCACCTTTCCTCCCCCGCCCTCCACTCGTCGCCGGCCAGCCCCCCACCCGTCCCTTCCCTTATCAGCACCCGCGGCCCCGCAAGCGCCGACGCAGGCGCACTGCACCACGCGGCCGCCATTTTGTGTCCGAGCCTGCGGAGCGATTAAACCGTGCGCGAGCTGCTTCTTGGCGGTAGCGGCGGCGCGTGGCCGGTGCGGGTGCGCGGAGCTAGCCGGGGACGCCAGGTGGCCGGAGCGTGGAGCGGCGGCGGAGCGGCGCTGCGGGGGTGTGCGCGAGTAAGGGCCCGGTGGAGAAGTTTCGCGGGCCGCCTCTAGTGTCACGATGGGGCCGCTCCGGTCGGCGCTGGCTGCAGCCCGGCGCCAGCGCCGCCGCCGGGGGTGTTTGTCTCCCTCTACCGTCCCTGCTGCGGCGCGCCGCGCCATTGCCCGTCGCCGCCACAGCCCGGCCGGCCCCCCCAACACACACCCGCCCGCTAGGCCTCCCTCTGGCGGCGCGCTAGGCTCCGGCGGTGACGGCGACAGAGCCCGCGCGCGGCAACTCCATTTTCCTTCCTTTGTCTCTGCCCTCGAGACCGGCTCTGGCTCGACCGATCACCGGCCGCGGCCCGCCTGTGCCTTCCGCCACTCCGAGGCGGTAGCCGCAGCCGACAGCTAAGCTCCGTGCCTCGCTGCCGCGCCGCTGGTCTCAGGCTCCGGCTCTGCCGCTCGCGGCAGCCGGTTCTCGTGCTGTATGGTGCGGGCCTGGCAACGCTCTCGGCTGCCATCTCAGCCGCCGGTCCCGGAACTACCG